ATATGAACTCTACAATTTGATAACACGGATTCAAATAAAGAGTAACATAGAACAGAACCTTCAGGCTCACCACGTTTTAAAAATACAAAAGAAGATGAGACATTAGACATTACAAGACGACGACGACGATTTAGTTAGTTAGTTATGATGACATAAGTTTGACCGCAGTTTTTGAATATCTGAACTGAGTTTTTAATTTAGGCGTTTCAAAGGTGTTACTGGAGTGGAGAAGTACTAGGAGGGTCATAAAGGATCTGTCAGCATAATCACATAAATTGTTCGAAATTGATTGCTGACGTGCAACGGTTTTTCCGGAATCCGGGCAGCCTATTGTTTAATAATGCATTTTCTTGTATTAACGAATTAGTATGGGCAGCCATTATATAAGGTCAAGTAAAAAGTAATCCATTATATGAACAATAGATGACCTTAGTGATCTGTATCTATATACAAGTCCGATTTAATTTTAGTTTTAGGCGTTAGAAATTTGAGCTTTCGTACTATAAAAGCTTTTTAGAAAAGTTAAGTGATCGATAGCACAAACTCTCGTATACGCAAGCCAGGCATCTGAATATGTAAATGCAGTATATGGCCTTAATACTGTAACTGCCAACCATGCACAATTCTTGTTTTGTCGATTTCTTTTTTTCAAAAATGCCGACAAACTAATGGAAATCGTTGAGTTTAAGCAGTAAATCAATTTCACAGGATCTAAACATTGCTCAAAATAACAGTTTCGAACCATTTAAAAAAGGCTGGATACACAAAAAAGCTTGATGTATGGGTGCCACATGAGCTTAAAAAACCTTTAGGACCGAATTTCGATCCGCTGCACAGTGGTTGCGCCCATAGGCCAAAATTCAAAAAATTGTCTCAAAAATGACCAAGCTTCTTAATGGCAAACATGATTTTTCTGGAAATCTAACGGGCCTTCTAAAAATAGAACGCAAAGCGTGAACACTTGGTCAATTTTGCAGCGCAGCGGCGTTACTTTAGCATTTCGTCAAAACAAAGTTGCACTTTAAAGTGGTCAAACGTTCGCAAGAGAGGTTTAAATTAGTTTATTTAAAATGAACTTTAAAGTTTCAGGTATTTACTTTAATAAGTTATTTTTTTTGTGTATGTATGTTTGATTATTAATCTTTTATTTATGTATTATGTGAACGTCATTTTCATGATTATATATACTTTTAGATATGTTACCCCAGATCCCCCCTTTTGGAGTGTTATCAGTGTATTTATCAAGCTGCTAATACTTGCTAATTTGTGTGTATTCATTAATAAACTTATGCTGTCTTACTGTTTTCAGGGTCAAATTTGCGACGCAGTCTGCTGCTCTTCCTTTGCATTTGTGATGTTTCTTTTGTGTTTGTCATTTGTGTTTGTAGACAATTTTGGATATTCTTTTTTTCGCTCATTTGTATGTTATCATTTTCTATAGGCGCTTCTTGTAACTGCGAATTTTCACGCATGTACATCTTGTTCTTTGGTGCACAGAAGAGGACAAAAATGCCGATAAAACTCGAAGAGTGACTACTTTGGTAGAAGAGAGCATTAAGAACAAGGAATAGCAGTTGACATGATAACACTTAAGAACTGCATTAGTTACATTTGAAAATTATTGCCTTTTCGACTAAATACAGGCGTATTAAGAGTTTAATTGTTCAATATCACTCTAATTGGCTGAACATTATTGAAACAATTATAATTGAGCCTCCTCATCGAAGGGTTTCAAGTGCTGAACGTGGACGACCCAAAATTAATTTTGTCGATTCCTCAAAAAGGACAAAACGTCGTCGGCTAGCCCTATTAGAAACACATGATGAGTCTGCAGCTTCTGTTTTGCGCTCATCCGATTTTCCACCGATCCTAAAGTAATCCGAACCAAATATTGAAAAGGTTTTATCGCTTTTAATGGAAACTGGAATCACGAAAAACCAATACTTGCTCATTCGTGATTTCATTAATAGGGAAGCACCATGCAATATATTGCCAAGTTATGAGAAAATTCTCAACGGGAAATATTTATGGCCGCGGCTCCTTACAAGCCCAACCAGTGTGCGCTGGCTGTGCCAGGATTTTTAGAATTTTATGTACAAATAATGGATTACTTTTTACTTGACCTTATATTTTCAAAGGCCTTTGACAGATAAGTGTAGGATAGGATAGGATAGAAATGGGCCTCTCTTCTTTGTTTTCCTTTGGGACGGGGACAATATTAAGATTTTCCAACTGTCTGGAAACGTAGATGTTGTTAAGGCAGCTATGAAAATGTGCGTACTGAATCGTAAGATTTTAGGAAGCATTAACTTAAAAAATGTTGCGTTGGTACCGTCCAGTGCAACTGTATCTGATTTTATTTTAGGAATATTGACAAGCACTACACACACTGAAATTTAAACCTATTATCACAGAAATTTTCATGTAAATATTGTTATTGCAGATTTCAGCTACATTGGCTTCACAAAGAGGTTGGTCTTAGCTGATTCAATTAGTTTATTCACTGTGTGTCCTAATAACTTTAATTGGCCGTAGTATTGCGGAGTCCTGTACCTTTTTGATTCGCGACATTTCGCGATTTTATTGCCAACTTAATTTTATTATTAAAACATGATGTAAGTGAGTGTTTTGTCACTATTCTTTGGACTGAAACAAAGTTATCGTACAGGTAGCTCCGATAGTAATTTAGGTGTGTATTGATTAATTATTTCAAGAAATAAGTACACTATTGGGCAATTTTCAGGATGCTCACATAATCTTGCACTTCAATTTCTAAAAACATATATTGCCAAGCGCTGCATCAGTCGCTGACAGGAGTCTGAGTTAAGTGTTTTGTTGTTATATATTACCAGAATAATTTGTGTGAGTGCGTGTGTAGTTTTCAGTTGCTTTCCACAGTTAGTTTTTATTTAAAGAAAATTAAGTTTTATTAGTTTTAATCAAGATTGAGACCTTGAGTGCACAAAAGCGGAAATAAAGAAAACTTTGTGGAGCTTTTTATTGCAATTTAACGTATTTTTTGAGGAGCTCCTAATTTCACGTCTTTCTTTCCCCCTTCCTTTCCATGGGTAGATTTTATTTAAGAAGGTATTAAGTCATCTGATCGACAGATCGCTTAAAGAATAAAATAAATGTAAGCGAGGGATGGGGTTGCTCCTCGCTCTTAGCTACTAGTGTTGGCAATGCAGTTCAACAGATGGGGCCACTTAAACTCCGATTGTGATGTGGGGTAACATTTAGTTTAAACTTTTGTTAACTGAGTAACGGGTATCTAATAGTCGGGGAACTCGACTATATCGTTCTTTCTTGTTTTTATACATAGCTTTTAGAAATATTTAAGCAGTTCATTGTTAACTATACACCAAATAAATAAATAAATATCAACAGAAATTAGTTTTGCCTTTGAACATCTGGAATATTGTAATGTCAATTCCACAATGTCCCTGAATACACTAGAAGGTTTCTTGAGTCTTATCTTTACAGCAGAGTCTTCGCAGGGAAATGCAACGCAAAATACCTGATGATACGATTATTCCCGTGTTAGACGGTTTTAAGGGCGCCCAGCTAAAGGCGACCGAGAGGGTCACGTGTTGCGGATAGCGAACGGCCCTACAGGATCATCTGTGAATATAAGTAATAAGCACTGTAATAAGCAGGCCCGGACAGTTAGAGGGTGTCTGTCGCTGCCTGTCAGTAGTACCGACGATGCGAGTTGTTCAGCCGCATTTATAAGTTACTTTAACTTGGACAGTGCCGTGAGTCAGCCTGGCTAAAGAGCCCGGGTCAAAAACAAGCTCAGTCTCTCACGGTGTGCGACTTCCTGTTCTAAGTTTCGCCTTACCCGGATATTGCGGATCTCCCGTTTTTTCGGGTAAAGCTTCACATTCAACTACTATGGATATCAGGCCTATAAGTCTGACATCCTTGCTTCTTAAAGCTTTAAGCGGCTTATTATACATAGTGATGACCGGGAGCACGGTCGGTCGGGCCGAACAGAAGCAGTCAGTGTCTGCACTGACGTCACAAAATAAGAAAATTACGTCAGTGAAGGCTTACACTCTGACCAACTCAACATCTTCCTTCAGGCTTCCGGATCGCCTCATCTTCCAAGCGTAGGCTTATGCGATATGGGAAGCACTAATACATGTATCACACTGTCGCAAATCTCCACATGAATAGGCATCGCAGTTTAGTATATACCTTATATGGCATCTCTCTTCATCCGAATAAGAAGAAATGTATGCCTATGGCTACCTGTAAGCTAAACATAATAAACCAATACAAGATCTGTATGCCTATGGCTACCTGTAAGCTAAACATAATAAACCAATACAAACGACTAGCAAACCTAGCCTTGCAAAGCCTGAGACACTGTCGCATTTATCGCTAAGCAAGGCCCATTAATACTTCAGAACTACTAAGACTTATCCGTTCCCAGTGGGGGTTAGTAATACGGGTGCTAACAGGCCATCAACTGGTGGGCACGAGTGCCAACAGAAGCACCTCAAAACGAGTTCTACAGAAGCTGCAGAGACGAGAAGAAAGACTAATTGGCTAATGCAATCCTTAAATGTCCAGCGATTTATGAACGCGACCAGATGGGAGCTATGCTGTGCTCAGCTGCAACAGAGCAGCCGACACTTGGTCTAGGAGTTAAAAAGATCCGCGCGGACTCACAATGGACCAATTTAAGTCAAGGTATGTCAGACCAGATCTTGCAGCCGCTCTAACCTTACCTTAGTTAGAAACCTTCAACTTTGTGCCAGTTAAGATGACTTAAAATTAATTTTCAATTTTAAGATTTAAGATGAGGAGGGCCCATTGTTAGTGTACCATGACTAACGTGGATCCCAATTTAATTACCATTTAAATTTTATCTACTTATATGGAATGAAAAAGAAAATGTTGTTGTGATAGATAAGCGGAGCTAACAATTTGCTGTGTTTTGTTTATTCATCAATAAAGAATATGTGTAGGTCGAATTTTATTTATTTACTTACCCGATATTGACCCAATTTGTCAACAACGCAGGTGAATGATATATCTCGTCCTAAGGGAACCGTTATGTTGCCCAACTTCGCCAAAAACTCTGGACCTATTTCATCTGACTCGCTGTTTCCTTAAAAAAATTAATTTAGAACCAAAGTTATAAAACAATCAGGTGACGTTCAGACGAAACTAGCTAGTTCTATCATAGTCACGTTCACTCACATGTGAGTGTAATTCAGATGAAAGTTAAAAACGTTGTGTTATAGAAATATCATAACCAACGATAAGCATGACCTGGAGTTCAACAAAACTTCGTTTAATATATTTACAGGTCGCTACAAATTGAATACAAAATCCAAATAGGAAAAACTCATCCATATTGCTAAAATGCATATAAAATTGCGGACATTTCGGAATCAGCAATTATTAATCCTTATTGTAATCAACACTAGACTGCATCGAAAAGCAAATTGCTTTCAATAAACAATACACTACATTATCATACAATATGAAAGCTTGCCAATAGAGCTTTATCTATGTTTCAAGAACCAGAAATATTTCAAATAAATTGAAGGTTCAAATATTTAAAAATGTTAATCTTTTTCAAAAATGTATTTAAGTATAAATAACATTTTAAATCATGTACCACTTGATTATAAAACCATATATGAAAGGAAGCAAACTTCGGCAAGCCAAAGTTTATTTACCCTTGCAGCTATTGAAAAAAAAACCGTCGCGACGAATCATCCTGTTGCCATGCGGAAATCGGCTGTGGGAATTCTGAAATTGCTTTAAGATTGGTCTGATCAGTTTTTATGCAACCTCCGCCTAAAACATAATCCAGAAATTAAGCTTGGCTGTAGCAGAACTTACATTTTTCCACATTAATGGTCAATTTCTCACGCCTCACCGACAAGCCGAAACAATTCTAAATGAACTTCAAACTTGGGAGAACAGACCAGTAAATCATCGAGATATACAAAAACATGCTCTCGTAATGCTGCTGAGGTATCTTTGTCCATCAGCCTTCACATGAGCCAAATGGCATAACTGCAAATTGTAAATATATTACTTTTGGCTTCCAGCGGTATTTGGCAAAATGCAGTTTTTAAGACGATTGCTGATATGTTTATTGTAGCCGACTAAGTAGACCCTCGATGTATGGTAATGACTATGCATCTTTTATAGTCCGTGAATAGACCGTGCGGACGTCTAAACAAAGGCGGATCTTGGGACATTATTGCACTAAAGTCAGTAGGGAACTCCAGCTATTATTACTTTTTTCTAGTACCCCAAGCCCTAACATCCTATTAAGCTCGGCGAATACCAGACGCTGTTTCGCTGGTGAGATAGGATAATGCCCCTGCTTGATAGATGTTCTTCTAAATCAGTCTTCCCTAAGACCCGGTCTGCACAGGATGGAAAAGTATCAACCAATTTTTTTTAAATGGTTTCCTGTAGCTCGTTAAGTTTCTGCGGCATGTATGCTGTTTCTTGGCGTGCAGGGTTCTCTTCTTACAGTGGTGTCACCGGATCCACTTCCGCAATTCTTACTATGCGTTGCCTAGAAACAGCAGCCCAAATTATTCCCAGAACTCTATTCCAAAATAAAACTGTTAGTTTTGAGCGGGCATTATTAAAAATTGCAACTTCCCTCCCCATTCCCCTGGCAGATTAATCATGCCTGTAACTTGAGTTTTTCCCTTGCTGGTGGGTTGCACGTCCTGTCTAGTTAAATTCTGCGCCTCCCCCCTTTTCCAATGCAGTTGGATATTACTCCTGTATCCAGCAGTGCTACTATTTCTTCACTGTCTACTTTTGTCTTGGCAAAAAGGCGGTTGTCGTTTTTCAGGCTGACTATGGTCGCCACCAACGTTCTTTTGAGCTTGAGTGCAGTCTCAATGTTCTTGCGATCGCAAGCCACCTCATATTCTGCCTTTCGCTGATGCTATAACTTACGAGACGATATTTGCGCGGAGCTCGCGGGTGTCGTTCTTCTGATTGATTATGCTCAAAGTCATGGTTTCGTATGCAAAGTTATTTGGACTATGGTGGTCCTTGGTCAAAAGAACTAGTGAGATGGTTCTGAGGACGGCTAGCTAAAGGCGACCGGGAGGTCGCAGGTTGTGGTTAGCAAACGACCCTACAAGGTCAGCTGTGAATAGCAGTAGGCGAAGTCAAACGGATTCCGTCAAACAGAAACTTCGGCAATAAACAGCCCCGGACAGCCACTGGGTATCTGTCGCTGACTAGCGAGTTGGCCAGCCACATCTAAATAGTTGCTTAACACAACCCCATAAACACAATCCACCAGGATTGGGATTAACCCACACAGCATCTCACCCCGGGCCGGACTAAGGTGAAAACCGGACCGTGGCAAGAGTCGGCCTGGCAGAGGGACAAGGTTAGGACTGGGTCAGTCTCTATAAGTGGGCTTAGGGAAATGGCGACCCCCCGTTCTATTTTTCGCCTTACCCGGGCTTCGCGGATCTCTGCTCGGGTATAACTATCCTAGTCATTTGCGTACAATACGCGAGATAGTGTCCTGTGGACCAGAAAAGACGCGGAGGACGGATCCCAGGGAACAAGTAAAAGGAAGCGGAGAGCAGCTGACCGTCAATTGTATGGCACTGTTTCGGGACTTCCCACAAAATACGCCAGGACAGTAAGAAGGTGGTGGCCTGCGACAGTCAATGATCAGCTGACCTCTATAAGAAGGCGACAGCGCTGCTTGGAGGGGTTTACGTCGCAATTGACTGGTGTGAAGTCCCCAGTAGACGCCGAGCGAGGATTTGTCTGCAGCTATGACCACTGAGAATGTCCTCTTCAAGTTGCAAAATTGCCACCCCCATCTTCCCACGCGCGACTGTAAGCTCGTTAAGGTGGAGCCGCATGAAAGGCCGATCAGCCAGGCCATTGTCATGCTGAACAAAGAGTCGGTTTCCCTAATAGAGGCTGCCCACGGGGAGCTGAACTTCGGTTTCAGCGCGAACCGTATAAAAATTTACAAAGGGGACTCGGGCTCGAAGGGAGACCCGGTTGGCAAAGACGTAATAGAAGCATCCGGAGAGGATAAGCCGTAGGGCGGCTATTCAGCTGACGATTCGCTTCGCAGAGGGATGCAAGCAATGACGCCGGCAGATGATGACGACGAGGACCTCAGCGGAAGCTGCGACGCAAACGCTCACCACACTCAGCGTGTTTATATTTAATTTTATCCTTGGCTCAAATATATATCTATGTAAGGTGTTACTTCTACCTTTATCACAAAAAATAGTCAAACGGTCATTGACCTTAACTTAGTATCGGGTCTGATACTCGGCAAAGTCAGAAAATGGGAAGTCTCGAAATAGAACTCCTTCTCTGACCATAGATTTATAGAAACAACGCTGACAAAATATCAACCAAGGGGACCAAAAACCTCTCGGAACTCAGATCCAGTCAGGATGCTAAATGGCTGCAATACAAGCTATTTTTTTGGTTTATTGTTTTGCTATTTAATTATTGAATCATTTCCTTTCGGATACTAACAATAAGTGTATCAAATCTTATGGTAACAACCTAAGTAGCAGTCGTATGACGCACTGAAAATTATTGCTGGGTTGGGAGGTCGTTGCGTTGTAGGCGGGTTCTGCTGGAAACCCGATTCAAGCCTTTTGCGATCTTATTTGGGTGGACAGAGAGTTTTTCATCGTAAGTCGCTTTTTGTTGATCTATTTCATCTTTCGCTGCAAAGAATGCCTTCCCTGTGGATGTCCTGGTAGCCAAAATACCATGGTGCGCTGTATGGCGTCTATATTGCTGCTGCTCGCGTTCCCCCATAACTGGGAGCCATATGACCAGATGGGCTTGAAAGAGGTATTGTACAGCCGGACGCAGGGGCGATCAAGCGTTTAAGATCCAGTGGAAGCTGCTGGCTTTTAGTTTTAAATGCGTTCCTGCATTCGATGGGTCTTCTCAAGGTTAGTCGTCTGTCTAGGTGAACGCCGAGATACCTTACTTCGTTGTCTTGATGAATCTGCAGCGAACGTAGATGTTGTTAGCTGCTCATTCGTAGGAATATCCGCTGTATATAGGACGAACAGAGTAGGTCCAAGTGCGATTCCTTGCGGAACTCCAGCTTCGATAATGTAGTCGTCAGATGTTGTTGTGTTACACCTTACAGCAAAGACTCTGTGATAGAGATACGACTCAAGTAGCTTATGAGTGCATTAAGGCAAGTTTGTTTTGATTTTATACATGAGGCCAGCGAGCCAGACTCGATCGAAAGGTGGAGATACATTGAGGAATATTGCGCTGAAGTATTCCCGATGCTCGAAGGCTGTGCGAATTTCTGATGTTGTTCTGTTAACTTGTTCGATTGTTCCATGGTTTTAACGGAAGCAAAATTCCAACAGTTTGGACAGATACGATAATAAACTCATTGGTCTGTAGGACGAAGGAACTGTGTGGTCTTTTCCGGGTTTCGGTATGATTATGTTAATAGATTTTTTCTATTTTCTAGGATAGTAGCTTAGACGTGTTATCCCATTAAAGAGCTTACAAATAACCTCGATAGCAGAGTTTGGAAGTTCAATTATCATTTTTGGGGTTGTAAGGTCACCGCCTGGGGCCCCTATGACTTTCGCAATCTCCTTTGGCGGAAACAGTGTTGGTATGGAATCAGTTCCAGATTCGGTTTGTGGTGACACAAATGGACCAATGGCTCTATCTTCGTCGCTGCGGTTACCTGATGAATTTCTTATCGGAGTGACTGTTTCGATTGGAGAGCTCAGGTTTGGGTGAGCCCTCCACAGAGGATATTTTGTATTGTAGTTGTGCGTTTTCAGCGTCTTTTTTCATGGCTCGGCTTAGCGTGCGTGTTGCTTCCTTAAGACGTTGTTTTGAGGATGGCGATCTGTTGGTTTGCCAAGCACGTCGCAGCCGCCTCTTTTCTAGTACAGGCTGTTCAAATTGTAGATTAGTTTTGAAATAGTTGGTTTGCACGTCCTTCCCTTTTGGTGTTGAAATAATGGCTGCTGCCACGAGTATATCTACAACGGCATCGGTAGAACAGTCGATGTCCGCTTCGATGTTGACCTGCGGGGTTAGTTCAATGTGAGAGCTTACATACGTTTTATATTTAAGCTA